CGTCACCAGGTGGGGAGGGGGCTGTGTGTTTGGTGGCCGGCGCGAGGCGGTGGGGGTGGAGGGGAATGGGGACGGGAAATAGGTTCTGTGTGCTCTCCGGGGGTATTGTGTCAGGAGATGCAGGCTGGCTACCATGTGACGCGCTCCAGAGCTGAAGGGATTGGCGGAGGCAGCGCAGGCGGTGCAGCTCGGCCGGCCGGCTGTGCTCTCCCTTTCTCTCTCAGCATCTTCCCCACAGCATCCATGGCCTATCTTTCAGGTTAACACTTGTCTCCTTGGACTTCAGCAGCGGGCCGAGCGGATCTCAGCGGCGGCGCTGGGAGGACTTAGCTGGGACCTGGAATCCTCTCCTCCTGTGTTTTTTCAGACTCCTTGGAAATTAAGGAATGCAATTCTGCCACCATGATGGAAGGTAGGATGCTTTCTGCTGGGGTTGACTGACTTCCGGCATGGTTCGCACAGAACAGCGTTGAAGAATGTGTGCAGCCGGTGTTTGTGGCTATTCTAGAACCTGGTCGCCAGGGTTTTGCAAGCAGAAATGCTGCAGTTTGCTTGCAGGGAACCAGAGCCCAGGCGAATGGAATCAAACCACAGGGCTTTTGCCTAGCTCAGAACCCACAGAGCTCCCAGCTCCTTTAAGAGAAAAAAACCTGAAGTGTCTGCAGGGAGCCGAGATAGAGCTAGGAAAGAGCTTGCAGAGCAAATAAGTTCAGAGAGAAGATAAGGGTTTTCTGTGCTGGGTTCCTGGGACTACACTGATTAAACATTTACAATGGAAACTTGTTTTCTGAAATTGACATTAGACAGGAGAGGTCATAGACAGAGTTATCCATATGTTTTCAATGAAGTGCTTAAAAAGGTAAAAATTCTCGTGAGATATTTTTATCTCTGCGATTGACATTCATATTATTCTGGTGACGGATGAAGCAAATTTGGTCCATCAACTGTACTTCCACGGGGATGTCATTGCAACAGAATGAGCAGGGAAATATCTGGGCCTTTGGCTCCTGATTCAGGGTCTTACCATGGAGAAAAGAATTGTGTGCTTCCTAAATGCTTTCCCTGTGCAATGGTTCTTAGCGAAGCATCAAATGATTACTTGCTGGTTATGTTTTGCATTTGATATTAAGGAGGAACTTTCCCTGGGGAAAGCTATTTAAACTGTATTTTTTCTACTAAATTATCCTTCTGAGTTGGAGTGATTGACAACCAAGACTGCCTCAAAAAAGCAGCGAGCCGATCTGGAAAGAAGCAGGCAGCCCTATGCTGGCTTTGATTTTCTGTCTTCACACTACAGGATGGTGCAAAACTCCTGGCCTTTCCTAAGATGACAGGCAGAAATTTGTCCCCAGCCTGGATTTCACAATGCAGAATCCAGTGCATAATAGGTCTCAAATCAGCCATGAAAATGGCAGAGAGGCCACCTCTTAAGCCAAGGTCTGCCCTACAGATTTCAAATGTTTCTTAGAAATTTATCAAAATGGTCTAAGAAGAGGATGGTTAAAAAAAAAAAAAAAAGGCAATATATCCTGTACTTATTTGGCAGAAATGAATTCTCTCTGCTCTCCCTGCCATCATATCAAACATTGTTAAGGTGATTTGGGGGAGTGAAGAATTCTAGAGTCAGAACCCACAGATTTTAGAAATAGCCTTAAGAAGAGAGATTGGGTATTATTTTCTTATGGAGACTGGTCTTGTTTACAAAGGGCTCTCAAGCCAGTTCTTTAAATACAGGCCTAAATAAACTGAGATGGCTAATGCTCTAAGGTTAAATCATTTTCATTCATTCAAAATGGATTTAATCTTTGAATAAGAAGGTCAGACTAACAGAACGAGTTATTACTTATTTGCTTTTCAATTAAAAGCTGATGCGAATTGTCCTCCAGAAAAAAAAAAAGAGTATCTGTTAGAAACACTACATTTCTTCAGCTAAATTTCATGGAGCATTTCTTAAAAATGCATCTGTACACATTGTAATTAGATTTCAATCTTACATGGGAAACTAGAAGATCTTTCGTGTTACTTCTTTCTCGCCTTGTAAACTATGGACCTAGTGTCTTCTTGGAAGGTAGTAGCATTTATTGATGCTTATTAATAATTCTCCTGGTAATATGGTCTATTGTGCCATCCCAGACTGTCAGTTCAAAGCCCTGTGATAAGCTTATCTGAGCTGCCTAAACTGAAATGAGAAGTGTAACAAAGACTTGTGTTGGAGCTGAATTAGCACTATGGGTCCACATTTGCCAAATTTATCTAATGAGGGATGTTATCTTAGCACTGGTATGAATTAGAGGTGACACTATGGATACGGTTGCCTTTATCAGATCTTTGCAGGAGAAATTAGACAGGTGTTCCCAATGGTTTAAACATTTAAATGAAACTAATATATTTTTTGCTACCCATAATTCCTTTGTAAATGCTTTTCAAGCTTCATTATGTTAATGGTTCCGTGACCTTAGAAACACAGGTAGGACCTTAACTAGAAGTGAATTTGCCTATCTGTAACCCTCCAAATTACTAGCTAGTCTTATTGGCCTACAAGTTCATGTTTCTGATTTTGCAGCTCAGAATCTCACCCCTAAATTACTCTTACTCGGAAGGTGTGGGATAGCGGTTATTATTTACAGTTAGTACATGTTAGAGAAAGTGAAGTTATTTCCTCTAGCACAATAACCTTGGAAAGATAAGGAGCCCCTAAAAGGCCCCCTAAAATCCTACCATGAAACGTCAGTGGCTTCTGAGAATATGCCACTAAACATTTGAAGAGTTAAAATGATGTCTATTGTCAACTAGCACATGTGTCACACACACACACACACACACACACACACAGTCACACACATGCACCATCATCCACACAAACCAATTACTAGAGAGGAAGAGAATGCATGTCAGTACTCAAGTGTGTGTACATTTTTATATCGCTCAAGCGTTTTAATCTGCTCCTCAGCAAAGGCATGGCCATGGCAACTTTTTAAAGCTACTTCTTCACTTTGTGTCAAACAAGTAAACAAATATGCAGCAGAATGGCTCATAGTTTTATTTCCTTTGCTCATTTCTGTGGAATAACCCTATTTCACAGAATGTATAAGCTCCATTCATTTAATATCTGTTGGAAATCCTGGTCACAGATGAAGAGTGTCTGAGGAATCCCTAGTGATTCCAATTTCATGAACAGCAGCAAAATAATTCTGCAGGGATTTCAAGCAGGTTACCAGTTACTCCACGGTTCCTTTCGAATATTGTTATTACTGAAAAACATATTTTTTTAAGAAACTTGATTCATCACTTCTCCATTCTTTATTTTTTGGCAGGGGTTGGTATTGAGTTTGTTTCTTTCTTGAAGAAAGCCGCATGATGTGAAGCCTTATGTAGTACGAGTGTAAAAAGAAAGATGATGAGAGAAGGGAATTATTTGCAACGAGGTGTGTATTGGCTAGGCTGTCAGTGTAGGCTATGTGGTTAGGGCAGTAATTGAAGGATTTTTTTTTCATATATGAATACATTGTTAAGTTTGAAATGACATTTTGTTAAAGCTTCTCTTCCTAAGATAAGTGAAACTAAATCAGAGTTTTGGGGAGATTGGTTTATCTGTGAGGCTGTCTGGAAAGTACTTTCCCTGTCCATGCACGATGAACTGAATGAAGGTGCTTTGTATTTTTAGTTGCATACTCAGGCTCTCAGGTGCTGCGTTAGAAAAATAAGTTTCTGGATGCCAATGGCCTCATGCTATATAACAATTTTATATAACAATTTTAAAAACCAACAAGTTTATTTCTATTTTTAAAGGTTTAGTGGACTTGATTGCAATGTTCAGGGTGGTTTTAAAAATTTTAATATATTGGGACCAGTAGATGGCATAATGGCTATGTTGCTGGACGCCCATGTAGTGGACTGTGGTTCGAGTCCCGGACCTAGTGGCTTAAACTCACGCCAGGCGCATGTGTGTGCGTGCCCAAGATCCTGAAGGAGAATGGAGGAGAAAGGATTGTAGCATGCCTGCACCCCCCCCCAGGGGGTGACTTCTTGCTTTCTGTCTCTCTGTCTCTCTCTCTCTGTCTTTCTGCTGAGCTCATACGCTCTATAGCAAAAACCTCTCCAAAATAAAAAAAAAGAAAATTTAATAATATATTTACAACCCACAATAATCTACAAATAAGTTTATTCTACATACAGTAATTTTTCTAAATTTCAAAAATAAAACAACAATGTTTTGAGGCAGAAAAATGGTAAGATGGAATTAAATCCAAGACCTTTTAAAAATAAAGCTTGCATATTTTTCACTAAGAAACGTTCCTTTTTACTTCATATAAAGGTGAGCATGTTAGTATAACTGAAAAATAGGCCTCAGTGTCTTTGTTGCATATTCTTTTTAAAAAATTATCTATTTATTTATTCACTCATTTATCTTAATTTGACCAGAGAGAGAGAGACACACACAGAGAGAGGTAGATGAAAAGTGAGAAAGCAAGTCACCAGGTCTGGGACTCGAACCATGGTTGATCATGTGGGAGTGTCCAGTAACTTAACCACTACACCCCACACCACCTGCTGGTCCCCTTCTCTTTTTTTTTGGAGAGGTTTTTGTTATAGGGCACATATGCTCGCCAGACAGAGACAGAGAGACAGAGAGACATCCCAGGAGGGATGGCCACACTGCAATCCCTTCTCCATTCTCCTCTTGGGATCTTGGGCATGCACACACACACGCCCAGCATGAGTTTTAAGCCACCGGGTCAGGGACTCAAACTGTGGCCGACTACGTGGGAGTCCAGCGACATAGCCATTATGCTAACTGCTGGTCCCTCTTCTTTCTTTTTCTTAAAGAGAAATTTTTGCTATAGTGTTTGTGTACTCACCAGAGAGACAGAAAGTGAGAAATCACCCCCTGAGGGCGATGGCCATGCTGCAGTCCCTTCTCCTCCATTCTTCTCTTGGGATCTTGGGCATGCACGCACATGCACCCAGTGTGTTTTAAGCCACTGGGTAGGACTCAAACCATGGTGGACTACATGGGAGTCCATCAACAGAACAATTACACCGTCTGCTGGTCCCCTTTGTCCCATTTTCTGTGTCTATTTTAATTATGAGTACTCAGAGCCATACTCATGAATGCCTTTTATGTCCAAAATCATTGTTTAGAAAACTTGGCATACATTTTAGATTAACTGAACTTCTACTGTTACAACAAAGTTTATAAATGGTAAGGGATTTTCTTTTTTCTATTTAGAATGGCGTTTTATAGTATTTAGACATTTCTTTGATGTGATCAAAAAGAAACAAGCATCTTAAAGCTGGAGCAGTTCATCTTAAAGTTAGCCAAGAAATTTTAAGAGACATATTTCTAACTTTCCTACTGATTTCTTTCCCTTAAATTGCACAATTACTTAAGAAATCTTATCATGTATATGA